ATTATTATTATTATTATTATTATTATTATTATTATTATTTTGCATGAATTTGTCAACTTTTCACGTACAAATTTCTCACGAGTGAATTGTATCTTACCCGTTGAATTTGAAGAACGATGAATTATGAACGTCCTATCCAAATTTCATGACGATCGGATTATAAAACATTGAGATATCTACGTCTTGATTACAACTGCATAGGCTCTAGATTCTACAAATTTCTTGGCTATTGTCTCGAATTTTCTCTCTATTTGGGTGAGCTTCTTCGTGCTGATAACATTGTGTAAGACTAAATGAATTAAAGAGATATATAAGAGAAGAAATAGAGTCAAAATTCAAGTGTATTTTTATTAAGAACCAATGTTTCATATTTATAGAATTCAAAATAAGAGTTACAATCAAAGTAAAATAAACTTTTCTAGAGTAGATAGATCTTATTTTAGCATTCTAATAAGCCCAAATAAACATCAACAATTATCTCATAATCTTACAATAAAATTTACGTATAAAATAATTTTATTTAGAAATTGATTGATTGAAAACGAATGGGCAAAAATGAGTTTTAAAGTGACTCAAAACAAGATTTATTTTACATCCAGACAAGATTGACTTTTTCATCAAGTGATTTATCCCAGTATGACTAGCATTTGTTGGATTAACATCCTCATTTCTTTTAGAATAAAACTATTCGTACAGATTAATTGTACAGACAATTTTACAGATGGTGACATGGCAACATTTTAGTAGCTGGATTAATTGTATTTTTTTAAAAAAAAAAAAAAAAAATAGTATGAGGTCTTGCCACCTATAAATTCTACAAACCAAGTTGTAAACCAGGTGATACGTAGAGCATCGTTGTCTAAGGATCTCTTTTATGGTAGGTACAAAACAGGTGTAATAAGTGATTGGTTTGATATAAAGGGCATAATAGTGTCTAAATTTAACGAAAATGAAACTTGTACACATGCTCAACTAATCCAATGGCCAAGCATAAGAATACAATAATAATACAATGGCCAGATGCTAGAGCTAAAGCTGCACCAGGCCAAATTTCAACCTCATGCCTCTTGAAGAAGCCTGCACTGAAATTAAATCCAATTGGCACTCCGCAAATGAATTGGAAAAAGCCTCTACGAAGCAGCTATATACGACGAAACCATTTGTTGAATCCAGGACAGTTTCTGGAGACTCCTTCCGCCTTTATTTTGCAGGGAATGGTGGTCACGAGGACTCATATGATGCTTAAGGTGACAGGGGTCCTGGGAAGGCACTCAAAACATCGGTGAGATGGATGGGGTTTGGGTATTTTTTTTTTTTTTTTAATACAGGCAGGTCCCGCATGGGACCCCCCTGCTGTGAGGGACCGTAAGGGTTCTGTTTCACATAACCCTGTACACTCAGAAAAATCCACATCATATATACTAAATTCACAAACAGGACACTGTCCGGTACTCGATCAATGACCAAAGATCAGATGGAAAACCATAAACGGATTGTCATGAAAGACATTTAATTGAACATTTTAAGCTCCACAAATTACAAGACGTAAATCAAAATGTATAGTACGCAAACCAGAAGAGGCATAACACTACGTCAAAATCCGAAGTCTTTCTCCTTTTTTTTTTTTCCTAAAAAGGGACAATTCTTTATTCTACAAGAAGCATGCAAATGACAAGTCGATTAACCTCGTTCAAATAAAGCATTACAGATAGAAGAGGTAGAAAGAGAATCAATTATAGATTAAAAAAAGATGGTAGAAAATGCAAAGAACTCTTCTTATATCCTTCTCAGGAACGAAATCTTTCACGAGGGGATGATGAACGGCTGCATGGTAAATGATGCATTTTCAGCCACAGAAACCATAATGCAAAAGTAAATAAATAAAGAAGAGGTAAAAGAACAGGAGGATGGGAAAAATGTTAACCTGTTGTATCTTTCATTGGCAGTGCTTCCTGATCTGCGATAATCAGGACTTGGACTTAGCTTGGATCTAGAATCTAGGACTGATCCATGCCCATAATCGGGACTACTCCTATCCTTGCGATAAGGACTTCGGGAACGTCCTGCACCATAGCCCCTTCTATTGGGGGAGGCATCACGACCTCTTCTGTCAGGGCTGTGCCCATTTCCTCTGTCATCATCATCACGAATTGAATACTCCACTGAAATAACTCGATCCATAAACTCACTGTGGGCGAGAGATAGAAGAACCAAAGTAAAGTTATTTAGGATCTCATATTACCATAAACTTGTATGAAGAAGCAAATGATTAAACTATGTTGCGAAGATTTATGAAAAAGAGTACATTTTGGGAAACCTCTGGAATATGAATACTATAGGCCACCAAGCAAGGAATTGAAAAACGAATGGGTGCCCTAATAAGAAAGCTGGATAACAAGAGATGATTGCCATTTCGAAATTATTAAAAAAATAAATATAAAATGTAGTGCTTGAGACTCAAGTAAATCTTCATTAAACCAATGCTCCCAGCATAAAAGTCTCCATATTCATTCAACAGTCCCTTGAATTTTCTTGTAAAAAATTTAGGGTAGTTCACTTGCCTCTATGACTACATTATCTTGCTATAAATAAAGCCTATATGGCATTATGGGCATATATATAAAGCTCGTTGCAATTATGTGTAGTCAACCAGTCATTTCATTATATAATAACATGAAAATCTCTTAAAATGACAAAACCTGTTGTCAGTCGCTTCTAATGCTCGGGTAGCATCCTCCTGCAACTCAAATTGCACAAATGCAAAATTCCTTCGGATCCTAACATTAGATATCTTTCCAAATGATTCAAAATGCCTTTCGAGATCTGTGGTCCTGGTATTGATAGGATCAAAGTTGATTATGAACAAAGTTTTTGTTGGCCTTGTGTTAGCTGAAGATCTTCTAGACCTATCAGGCTTTCTACCACCACGTTCATGCTGCTAATCAAAATGATAGCTTAGTTTTTGAGCTAAAATTCAGAAAGATCAACAATTGAGTGTGTGTCGATGCAATTGAAGTTGTAGTAAGTAATCTACTGTATTGCACTCAAAACTGCATCAAATGAAGGCATTATATATACCTTTGTCCGTTCAACACGAAGTCGGCGTCCTTTTCTGCCAAACTCTATCCTATCAAGTCTCCGGATTGCATCCTCCTCATCACGCTCATCTTCCATATAGACAAAAGCAAAGCCTATAAAACCAAAAAATTGTTTAAAGAAATCAAGCCAGATCATTTAAGTTGGCAGAGAAAATATAAAAAATATGAGTCAACATTACTCCTGCAAAGACACTAATTTACCAGACTAAAAACTTGTTATCACCCAAAATCCCTGCTAATCAACGGGTGGGGGAACTAAAAATCTGTATGGAGAAAACACAACACCTGCCATTGGATCTGAGATGAACTTTATATATATTTGGGAACAAGTCGGAAATTGAATACTGAGCAAAGACAGGAGGAATGCAAAGACAATGGTCTTGGGGAAGTGTAGGATGGTAGGACCATCGCAGAGCATATTGGTTCTTTTGAACAAACAGAAGAACATGAATCTTGGGTACAAGTCACTAAGTAAATGCAGAGAACCATCCATCCAGGAAGATCATGGAATTTCCAATTGATCCTGCGCCAAAGAAACTATTGAGCTTTGGATTTCACTACAAGAAAAAAACTCACTTCTCACAGGAACATAACATGTATAAAACATTTTATATTTAAGAATTTGAAAAAAAGAGAATATATTAGCCCCTTCACATCAGTTGAGTGCTTTCTTCAAGTGTGTTGGATGTTATCGGAAAACAAACAATTCCAAAATTCATCTCTATCGACTAGCATAATCAAAAGCTAATAGAAATGCAACTCATCTTCTCCTACCACATTTGCATAAATGAATATCTTTCAGCACTAAGCACCAAAGCTGATTTTTGACAAAATAATCCCATTATATTGACTTGTACTGAATATGGGAGTAGTTGCCTAGTAAAGCTCAAAACAGATCTCTAGTTATTTTATTCAATAATCGTCAACCATATGCCCTCGTCTGTGTGTAATTGACTTGTACCAGAAGGGGTCCCCAAGCTGTTCTTGGATTTATAATTTATTAAATTTTAATTCTCTATATGCAACTTTTCCTTTTACGAAAAAAAGAAAGGAAAAAAAAAAAAAAAAAAAACACTATTGTCCACTCAGGGCCAATGAGGTGAGTACCTGGATGTACACTTCAGGGCCCCGTAGGATTATTCGAGGTGCACGTAAGCTGGTTTGAACACCCACGGTAAAAAAAAAAAAAAAAAAAAAAAAAAAAAAAAAAAAAACCACCACTGAACCCCCAATGTGACTCAACTTGTAAGATCATTATTTTCTCATGCAAATATGTAATTCAAAATTAATGCGTCTATGAGAGCACCATTCTAAATGAACTCACCTAGTCACTGTGAATGCTCTGTTGAATCTACATCTGATGATTTGATAGGATGAGCTAACACATAACTATACTAACACAAAATTCATATGTTCCATTGCTAGTTACTTTATGCTGCATTTATTCATCACAGGAAGTGCCGCAGGAAAATGCTTAGGCCATCAACCACTTAGAGGCGACAAGTACCACAGTACTAAGTACTTACTAAATGAATTCAGTAATACAGCTAAAAGAGATGGTTCTTTGGATCAAGAAATTGAAAACTTGAATGTGCATTCAAATGGTTATTGCAAACCATATGTTAGCTCTTTTATTTCTAATGGTTGCACCAGTCCAGTAGGCTGTTTTTCAATTTTGCTTTTATTTTTGGATAGTCCCAAGTAGGGATAGTTACAAAATCACAAAATACAAAATGCTACTATACTGGTTTAAAAAGGCTAATTCAAGTTCAAATCCGTGACAAGCACTTTGGTTAGAAATTACGATGGGACAGCCCTTCCATATCTCTATCCTGCTTAAACAAGGTGGGGCACCCATTAGCCTCGATTAAGTTTTCTTTCTTTCTTTCTTTAAATTTTTTGAATCATTTTTTTTTTCCTTATAAAGAGAGATACAAACAATAAACAGTAGGGACGGTGGAGTTTTGAGGGTAGGGTGGGTCAATTAGTTTTTTATTTTGAAATTTTAAATTTTTTAAACAATACTTGAATCAGGGGGCAAGAAATCTTGGCCCGAACCTGACCTGCCAACTCAATTGGGCCCGCAGAGTTCACATCAATCAGAATTTTTTTGCCATCCCTAACTTTGATACCTGAGCCTTAAATAAATCAATAAATAATTGTGTATTTACAAAAGTAGAAAATTATATTAGCAACAAACCAAAAACTATCTACAAAAATCCATATTTTTATGGTAAAATGTTTCAAAAATATTAAAGGTCTAAAAACTTAAAAATGGTTCAACAAAGTGTCCAAATAATAAATTAACAGAGTGGCGATTGCAAAACAGGAACACTTAATCCACAACCATAAATTAACAAAGCGCTCAAGAAATATGCTTGCTTTAATGTTTAAAAAGAAATAAACAAGAGTAAAGATAAGAAAAACAAAGACAAAGAAAAAAATATAAAAGAAGAAAAGGATGGAGTTACATTTGCTAGGCCCCTAGTAACCAGCTGTTTACCCCTAAAAGTTGCAAATGCACTTAGAAGAGGGGTTTCTTGTACTTTAGTTGTAGGGGCTATGCACGCTACTTCAACATGTGGTTGGGTGGTGTTAAAGAAAATCCTAAAACCACTCCAAGCATTACAAGGCATCAAAGCACTAATCCACAAAAGCTAACGCCAGAAATGAAAATCCCTGGAAGGGGTAAGACTAACAATTGCACACCTTAGTCATCTCAAGGCTTAAACCTTGACAGCAAGACTCAGTGTAAGCTTTGAGGTGATTAATGAAAGCCTCAAGGGAACTAAGTTACTCAAGGGTTTAAACATATTTCTGTTGTTTAGAAAAAAGGGGCTAATTTAAGGAAAATAAAACTTAGAATTTACCAGATTTCATATCCACCCTGTCAACCCGTCCATATCTTCTGAAAAGACGCTCAACCTCGGACTGGCGAGAATCGAAGTCCAGGTTACCGCAAAAGATGGGCATTGTGCTCCTGAAAGCTTCCTGCAAATTAATAGTCTTCAATCTCAAATTAAGGAATTTTCAAAGTAGACATTCTTCATCTACGTATACCTCTAATATTCATAATCCTCTCAAAAACGTGAAAAAACATAATAAGCCATCAAACTGGCAAACAGAGGAAAACCATTGGATTTTTGCATGATAAAATTGAATCAGTTTTATTATGACTCAGGATCTAAATATTACCAGAAATCTTTGAAAACACATCTTCTATTTCCAAACAAAAAAATCCATAAAGAAACAATACCATCTTTTTCCACAGGGAAATGACAGGTAAGCAGATAGATGTCTCCACTTGCTTGCAACTATTAATATAAATACCGCAATAAAAACTGCTAGGCTCTACATTCCTTTTTCTCCCCCTTTCTGATTCTTATGAATTCTCTTTGTTCTCTCCCTCTCCAGTGAAAACATCAAATTCAGAATCAATTATAACTCAAAATCTCAAATCAACAACTTAAAGGGCAGTTTCAGGTATTCGCTTGTGTCAATATATCAGTCTCACCCCTTTCTCATAACTATTCTGTGCACAGCTTTCCAAAGATAAAGTAAAAGAAAAGAAAACTTGTCACAACAAAAAATGATGAAGCAGAAGTACATCAAATTAAAAAAGAGAAAAGCTCTAACAATGGAATAAGAATATGATATGCCATGACAAAGATCCCAACGTGTTCCTTGCAAGAATCAGGAGTAGGTGGGTTGAGAAGTGGATTTTGTGGGCCGCTGAATTATTATTGGAAGAATTGGTCCATTGCTGAGTAACGTCTACATGAATGTAGAAGAATAGGAAGCAGGTGTCTAAATGGCGTTATTATTTTGCATGTGGTTGTTTGAGTTTTTGTCAAATTATGGTCTTAAGTTTAGGAGAAGTTGTCAAGTCTTCGTGTATTTAAACTTTATCAGATTGAATACAAAGGGAGCATATATTTAGGATGAACATTGTGGTTCATTCTCACCTGAAGAGAATTTTTTTACGGCTGTTACTATTAAGCTTTGATTGGGACCTGATCATTGGTATCAAAGCACGGCAACCATGGCATTCAACAAAGAAAGGATTGAGGTTTTGGAGGCTGGACTTGACGGAGTTCAAGACGAGATGCAATAGATGGAACTTGGTGTGACTGATAAGCTGCACTAGTTAGAGGAGACCATCAATTGACTTTTGGAAGCTATACTTTCAAACCAAGAATCCCCTAGCCGCCACCACATCGAACGAGATGGATTTTCTCATACCAACAGAGACGATAATGTCTGAGGCAGAGCAATTTTTTCCTCCAAAATGGTGAAATTGGAGTTTCCACGTTACACCAGAGATGACCCTACTAAGTGGTTCAACCGAGTTGATCAATTCATTAAATATCAAGGCACTCTAGAAGCACAGAAGGTGTCCCTGGCATCATTCCACCTCGAAGGATAAGCCAACCAATGGTGGCAATGGCTGCACCGGGCTTAAAAAGAGGATGGAAGAGTGGTAACCTTAGCTATTTTTGAGGAGGAGCCGCAGGCATGATTCAGACCCACTGAATGTGAAAACTTTGATGAAACATTATCTTGCGTGCGGTAAGTTGGCTCATTATGGGACTAACAAAAAATGTTTGAGAAGTTGGGTAATCGAGTGCAAGGTGGATGCAAAAGGCATTGATAGAGACTTCTTTGGGAGGTCTGAAACGTGAAATTTTAGAGAGCATAAGCATGTTCACGCCAAAATATTAAAAGGAGCCATTTGTCTTGCATGCGTGCTAGACGACCAGTTACTATGCCAACGGAGATTTATACGACAACTACCACTCAACCAATTATAGTCAAACCTTACTACCCCATCAAAGTCACAACCAACATCTACCCTGAAGCGATTAACATGGGAAGAAATGCAAAAAAGGCGAGCTCAAGGCCATTTTTTTACTTGCGATAGCAAGTTCACTACAGGTTATAAATGCCGAGGCTCGCAGCTCTTGCTACTTTAAGGAAGTGTATGCAATGAAGGAGACACCGATGAAGAAGCAGAGGAAACCACAACCAATCTTCAACCTGATCCTGAAATATCATTGCATGCCTTAACTGGATGGTCCACTGCCAAAGTCAGGCATTATAAAGTAATTGTGCTCATTGACAGCGACTCTACCCACAATTTTATTAGTGAAAAGGTGGCCAATTTGCTTCACTTACCAGTTGTTCCCACAGAACAATTTAATGTACGAGAGGCTAATGGAAATCCCCTACGGTGCCAAGGAAGATTTGAGAATGTGAATGTCCTCCTTTAGGGTATTCCCTTTTCCCTTACCATTTATTCTCTACCACTAATCGGTTCAGACTAGGTGTTAGGCATACAATGTCTGAAGCAATTGGGCTCGATTATTTGTGATTGGAGAAAGATGAAAATGGAATTTAAGTGGCAAAATCAACCTCGAAGATTTCAGGGGATGAACGTACAACCCATTCAGCCTGCATCATTGGAAGCAATCTCTAAAGAAATAAGACAAGGAAGCTCAATGTTTGCAATTTGTATGTAGCCAATAGAGGAGGTATCACCACAGCCTATTCAAAAGGATATGCAACTGTTATTGGAGGCCTTTGCTGACATTTTTGAAGAACCTAAACAATTCCCCCCTATAAGAGAGGTCGACCATCATATTCCTCTTAAAGAAGGAATGGAGCCAATCAAAGTGCAACCCTACATGTATGCCCATTTTCAAAAAGCTGAAATTGAAAAACAAGTTCACGACATGTTAAAATTGGGGCTTATATGACCAAGTACTAGCCCTTTTTCATCTCTTGTATTACTTGTAAAAAATAAAAAAAGGATAGTGCATGGCGCTTTTGCATTGATTATTGTGTCCTTAATGCCGTTACTATCAAAGACCGTTTCCCCATTCCCACGGTTGATGACATGTTAGATGGTTGGCTACCATCAAGTACGAGTACACCGACTCGATGTTCCTAAAACTGCTTTTCGCACTCACAATGGCCATTATGAATATTTAGTTATGCATTTTGGTCTTTACAATGCTCCATCTACTTTTCAAGCAATTATGAATTCCATATTTCGCCCTTACCTCAATAAATTTATATTAGTTTTCTTTAATGACATTTTAATCAACAGCCCCAATTGGACCATGCATCTTGAATATGTTCAAATAGCTTTTGAAATTTTAAGGCAGCATCAATTTTTTATTAAAATTAGTAAAGGTGCTTAAGGTCAGCAAGAATTGGAGCATTTGGGCCATATTGTTACTCCATAGGGAGTGAAGGTGGATCAACGAAAAATTAAAGCAATGTTAAATTGGCATAGGCCTACTAATATTTTAAAATTGTGTGGGTTCTTAGGTCTTACAAGTTACTAAAGAAAATTTGTTCGCAATCATAGGATCTTGGCCAGACCACTCACTAATCTATTGAAGAAAGGATAGTTTGGATGGACAGAAGACGCAGAGATAGCGTTCAATGACCCAAAGAAGGCTATGACTTCCACTCCTATTCTTGCAATGCCTAACTTTAATGAGCCTTTTCTTATTGAATCTAATGCTTCACGGGATGGAATTGATGCAGTGCTAACATAACAAGGTAGACTAATTGCTTTCATGAGCCGAGCCTTGGGGATATCCAAACCTATGATGCTTGGACTCGAGTGCGGGTGTCGGATACGAGTACATTTCTCAGAGCCGAATCCTTCTCATTTTAAAAATTAAGATATAGGGATACAGTTAAAAAGAATCTAACTTTTGGATACGGATAAGTAGATACACCTTACAAAATATTTTTTAAAAAAATATCAGAAAAATGCCAAAATAACAAATAGAAAAACAGTTCAATTAAAGCAAATAACTACAAATTAACTCATATCAGCTTTCAAAAAATGAACTCGAAGTTTAATTTGTTTATCAACTATTTCGATAAAATCAATTTAAACAATTGGATTACAATTTGAAATTAATTTAACTTTGGAGCCAAAATAAATTCTTTAAAAAAAAAAAATCAATTTCAATGTCTTATATATTAATTAAAAAAATTATAGAAATAAATTTAAATTTAATACCAAAATAAAGATATAGCACTAAATCATTTTAATTACAAAATAAAAAGTTCCCACATAAAATATAAGAATAAGAAATTAATACAAAAATAAACTCAAATTAAATGGGTTTGACCATATAACTTATCCCAAAAAATAATTGTAATTTAATTAATTCCATGCATTGGGCATTACAAAGCCCATATAACACATCCATATCCAACTTCGAAATCAGTTAGGGGAGAGAAATTAGAGCTCATTTAACACATTGTCTTTCCCAACATGTTATCTTCTTTCTGGAAGCCAAAAGCAAAAATCGAGAAACAAAGCCAAAAATTAAGAAATTAACCCATTGTCTTCCCCAAGTTGTTATCCCTTTTGCTGCTATGTCCGAGTACAAAACCAAGGATCCGATCCATCGTGTCACTATCCGTGTCATGTCGCGTCAATATGGATACTTCTCTATTTTTGAAGAGTTCGAGCATCATAAATCCAAATTGTCACGGTCCACATACACTAGAGAAATGCTTGACATTATTTAAGCAATCAGAACTTGGTGACCATACTTGTTGGGACGAAAATTCTACATTCGATCAAAGAAGTCTTAAATATTTACTTGAACAATACATGGTCATGCCAAAGCAACAAAAATGGGTGGCTAAGCTACTGGGATATGACTATGAAATACTTTATAAGCCAGGGAGTGAAAATACAGCAGCAAATGCACACTAGTGGTGGGCAATCCAACTCTTAGCCCCCGTTTGTTTCATATTCTTTCTCCATTAAAATGAAAAATATAACCGTTATCCATCATATCAAACCATCTAATTTGAATTTCTATCTCTTATGTGGGGCCTATAACAACTATATCTTTCATTCTCATTTTTACAAAAATGGGAAACAAATACCCCCTTAATGCTTTTTTTTGTGCCATAGGCTCAAATATGGGAGGACATTATGGGAGCAACAATTAAAGAT